ATCCCCATCTGCTGGAAAGCTGATGGGGTACTTTCCTAGGGAAAATCCTACAAACTCTTGGCCAATTACACCACAGGGTGGCACTAGAGCTCTTCATCCCCATCTCTTCTCATTCCAAACTTTCAAGAAGATGATGAATGGCAAGACAAGAGGAGCAGTGATTCAGCGTTTCACAGTCAACTACGATTCAAGCTCCTTACTGGCCATCAGTGACTCTCTGTAAACAGCCAACAATCCATTCATACTTCCAGGCTCTGCTCATATCTAAATAGACTGGATAAATACTGTGGTGGTGCAAGAGAACATGCGTCAGCGTCTGGTTTGCAGTGACTTTGCTTTCACTCACTGAGATGTCTGAAGTCAGCTTTGCCCTCACTGAAAATGTTCGTGATTCCCAGAGCTGAAAGTGGATCCTTCAAATCCACCTCTGCATCAGCCGTAAACCTGAGAACACAACGTAACAGACAATGTCACCATGTATCAAATTTGAAGGGACATTATATTTATGTGCGTTTGTGCCTTACTTTGGGATGAGCAGGCGGACTTTCCTCATGTGCATCAGTTTGGTCCAGCTCTGCACTGTGGCTGTGCTGATGTGGGGAATGACACGAGACAGAGGGGTGTCCTCTTCAGACGGGAGAACGATTAGCATGCTGATGGTGTTGCCATGATAAGGAAGCTCAATTACCTTGTATTTGAGCCCCTGGGGTGTGGAGGCTAGGCCTAGCAGAATACAAAAATCTGAAGTTAGAATGCTGCAAAACAGACTTCCATCCCATCCACATTATCTTTCTACCAACCCTGCACCAGCCATCACCATTTTCGTAATAATGAAGTTTACCATGTACACAATGGTCAAATACAAATAAAATCTAAAAGACAAGTAAACACTAAAAGTACCGAACGCCACACACACATCTGTAATCGCCCTTTTAGCACAGCACACCATGATGACCCTCAAAACTTTCTCCTGGATCAATGAGTTTTAAGTTAAACTATCTGTAAGACAGTCACCATTAATTATCATTATTAACAGAAACATGAATTCTGCTCTCCCACAGAAAATTATAAATGCCAGTCGAAGCTCACCGTTTTATACTGAATGGTCCAGAAGGAAGAAAGTTAAGGTTTTCAAAATATTTTATGGGGGAATTAAGGAAATGAAGATCAACAAAAACATCAACCTATTATTTTACTTAATTACTGTTGTATGTATAACTTTGTATTACCTCACATTATGAGGCCTTCAGTATGGTGCTATAGTACTTGATGTTTATAGTTAAGTACTACAGCATATGTTTGTATGTACTTTGAGCTGCTGCTGTAATTTCCATTGTGGGCTCAATCCAGTACCCATCCATCAGCTTAAGGTTAATTCGAGGCAAAGACATTAATAAAACAGAACACATTCTGAAGTGTTTGATGTGTGACAAAAAAAAGGAAAAGGAAAAAAAAAGACAGAAAGAAAGAAAGAAAAAGAAAGAAAAAAGAATGAAAAAACAGGTTTCATCCCATGGGGATTTTTCTCCAGTTCTTTCTTACTTTATTTTAACAAGCAAATTTGCCAAACTCCAGATTTTGCCAGGACTTTCCACTGAACAACTCTGAATTTGTGTGGGTAAATGTTTTTGTTTAACCACAATGGTAATCAGTGATGGTTATCACTTTCTATTTAGTCTGGAAGCAGAAAATCCCTGGCTTCCTGAGGACAAACATACTCTCCCAGAAAAGACCCATGAAGAACACCAACTGTAAGAATACTGTGTTAAATTAGCTAATAAGGGGGTATAGCATAAGACATATGCATGGTACAGTTTTTGCAGCTTTCAGCATTTCACTCAATTCAAATATGTCATTAACATTGCTTAAAGTTTGAGACAGCACTTTATAGCTTTTAAGTATCACCTTTTCGTGCAAGTAGATACTCTTGAATGATGTACAAGAACAGCAAATGTGGAGCTGAATCAAAGCACATAACATAAGAGCAGTACCACACCAGAGGTATCAAGACTCCCTCCCATTTTCAGGCTGTATATGCTTATTACACCAACCTACCTATTACAAAGTCAGATTGCCAAGTAAGTGTAAATGCCATCATAGCCATAAAACATTACTGTACCAGAACCACTACATTCTAGTGTTTTCTTTAGGACCCACCTGCTAGCTTGAAGACAATAATCCAAGCAACAGACTATCAACACTAAACTCAAAACACTTTAGGACACTGAAGAAAGTTAGATATCTGTAACTTGCAGCTTAACACGGCCTTAGTTCAAGAGCGTCTGTCCACAGCACTTGCGGGCCACCACAACTCTGACAAGTCACCTAAATATAGACCTCTGACTGGTGTATCATTTCATTTCACACAGGACTAAATAATATCCTACAGAAGTGGCATGTCCAAGTCCTTAAAATACAAAACAAAAAAACCCAACTCAACACAAACTCGCATATGAACCATAAACTGGCAGTGACTGCAGCTGCATTATAATAAACCTGAAGTGCAATAATTTGGCAGTAGATGATGGCAGATGAGGTCTATTATCAATGAAGGCTGTACAAGGTAAAGTTCAGAGAAGCATCAGGTACTGAAAGAAAAGTGAACCAACCCAATGTTATGATGAAGTTATGCTTTTCATTATTTTCTGTGACAAATAACTGACTCTGGTGCAGTGGTTTTCCTATTAAACAAGGTCAACAAGGTGTAATATAAGTAGGACATAGTATATAAAAAATTGGAAAGGCAAACGCTCATGCTGCTCTAAATATGCCATTTCCCAGCTTTTTTTTTCCTATTCTTGACTGCATGATGCAAATGCGCCAGATTGGTCACTTAAAATACACCGTGCCGGCTGTGAGCACAGAAGCCCCACTCACCAGTGGGTGAGCTTTCTTCTTCCAATCACAAGAAGGCTTGCTAAAAAGGGCAGTGAGAAGAGGGACACCAGCTCGTTTCCAACAATGGATGAGCTGAGGAGCTGCACCAAGGTCCAGTATATGATAAATAGGACTTATTCTGAACTCTCAAATCATAAAACTACGTTAGTAACATAGAACAAATATATGGTGCTGACAAAACTGAACTTCTGTAAACCCCACACCACAGTAATGTAATGGTTGATAAGCCAAGAGAGACTTTGTAGCACAAGCATTCATAGTAGCCAGTTCATTTTTACTAGTCTGTAGCCAATGTTGCAGAAGAGCTTTCTAATTATTGCGAAAATGTATCTAAAGGTTGCTTTGCAGTGGAAAGCAATATAGGCTGATAGTAATGTAGAATAATATGGCCTTTTTTTTTAGTATCATGATTTATCTAAAACACTGACTGCTCTTTTAGACACATTTAAATGCTTAGTCTCACATCACCACTCACCTATGTTAAAGATTGATAGCTGCGACATCATTGGAACTTTAATATCGACTCCATCGCCCCGGGTGAAGGTCCTTATCTTGGTGTTCTCAGGCTGGAAGCGAGACTTCCACAAGCCTTTGAAGTAGATGGAGTTGACAACGACCAGACGGGTCAGAGCAGGATCCAGCATGTCTGCTTTGATCAAGCTGGGGATGTGACCTGGATAAACATAGGAGCATTATTCCATCAGCAAGGTTTGATTTAAAAACCAACACGTCATGTCTTTTGTATTTATTTTGAGACAGAGAAGGTAAAACTGTATCACCATGTAGGGGCAACCAATCAATACAGCAGAAAATTTAGTGCATTAACAAGTCAGACGTTTTAGAACAGTCCTGCAGTATTTTCAATGTGTTCATGCAGAAAAGGAAAACGATCTTGTAGGTGACAATAAGCCTTGTAGCCAAGTATACAAAAAGTCCAAAACATGGATGCAGAAGTCTCCCCTTCCTTAGGTAAAACCAGTCCTTCTGCACCCACTTTAGGGAAGGAATGCCTACACTCTGAGACTCAACTGCATTCAAAGATGGAAGTTTAGTTTCTGTATACAGCTATAATTGACAGCCACTGTTACCTTTGGTTTTATTGTTGACCCACTCATTAATTTCATCGGCTGCTGCATCAGGGCTGCTGAAGTCCAGGCTCCTGCTCTGACACTGGAAGTTCTCTTTGTTGGAAGTCACAAAAGCCTCCTGCATGGGGAAATCCTTCTGGCTGAACATAGCATTTGCGATCAGCACGATGTCCTGGTTGGCTTTGCCCGTCAAGTTCTTATGCAGCTTCTTCAACATCTTGTAAGGACCTGTGCAAACCAGGTAAACTTTTAACTGTTCCTCAACACCACCCAAGGTTTTTATACGTTAGGCTAAAAACTGTAGGACTCAGAAGACATCTATAGCCTGAAATAGTCCTTACCATTTTTCTTGTAACGGAGAGCATTAAGGATTTGCTTCCTCGTGTCCCCGTGGGCTCCAGATAACAGCATGCCAAGGATTGAAGCCACCCCATGAGGCGAGAGCACCACATTTTCCAGGGGCTTGGCATGAACTACTTGCTGAAACACCTGGATGCCGAGATCAGAGCCCCTTTCACCATAAGATGGTGCTTGGGACAGCACCCCCTTATGGCTGCACAAGGCCACCAATGCACAGAGGCACAATAAGGACATGTGCTTCATTTTGATACTTGCAACACCTACATAAACATTAGGAGAGGCAATTAGGATGACATTTATTTTACTTGAAGAAGTCACCTACCACTGCATGCATTTTCTAAACGACTTCCATAATAGATGGTTGTGACTCATGAATAAACACATATACCTTTACTCCCTCTTAAAGCAGCAAAATCATTCATCCAGTGTTGCAAGGTCTGACTAACTCTTACTCACTGTGTCTAAACATCACAAGCTATCCCTAGCCAGAACACTTGAACTGCACCCTTCGTTCCTTTTAATTTGAGCTCAAAATAAGATTTAGGAACATTTTGGGGAAAATGCTTCAGCCTAAAACTGGCCACAAGAGCCAGACTCAATTCTCGGTGAGGACTTACTGAAGAGGTGCAGTATTTGCAGTGTGAACATAAATTAGGGCAAGTTGTATAGCTGCCACGTTTATTCACCAACTGGGGCGTGCTGTTAATAATAATAATAATAATAACAATAATAATAATAATATTGCTGAGAAAACACGGAAATGGATTTAACATGCAGTTTTCAAATGATCAACCAGAGTGCTTTTATAAAACATCGTGTTCAGAAGTTTGACGCACTCAGCCACAATATTCCGCAACTGTATCTGGTGAGGAAATCGCAGGAAGCGTGAACATTAACTTATTAATTTGTGCAATAGAGGTGACCCCCACCCGTCAAACATTTAAACAACTACCAGTCCAGTTTTAAAGTGCTTTAAGAAAAACAACAAAAACAATACAAAACAGGTCACGTGAACACAACTACAATTATGCAGAACGACAATTAACTTCCATTTGGTTCTTTGAAAAAACAAAAACGACAAAATATTTTCCCGCTAGGATGCGGGCATGTTTTCTTATTTTATTTCTTTGAATTAGATGCAATGCTTGAAGTCAATTAAAATAGCTACGTGTGTTGACGTTTAAAAATAAAATTCCGTTAAAAAAACAAAAACCAACCCCCCCCCCCCACACACAAAAACGCTAGTCCTTACCTAACCCGAGGGGCTTCGATTAGACTTGTCCCGCAGGTGAAATTGCAGCTGGTATTAGTCCGCTTTTTCGCTGCCGTTCAAACGACAACTCAAGTAGTTAACCCTCAAAGTCCACGAAGAGAGCTCTTACTCTGGAGAAAGTTACACCTACTAGTGACTCCACCGCAGTTCCAAACAAGAATTTATCCTACTGTGAACCCCGCCTTCCAACCGAGCAGCCGTCTATTAAAACAGACATCCGTGTCTGTGTCAAACACGGATGTGCGTCCGCTACACCTTCAAAGTAAAGGTCAGAAAAAACCCTAAAGATTGTCGTTTTTAAACTCATAATTTAAAATGAGATGCATCCTCATAATTTAACAAAGTTGTAGCTCACATTTCTCCGATAAGCAAAAGGAGATTAGATAATGTTTACCTTCATGAAGCTACTTCCGGTGATGGCTTGGCCATCCAACTTGACACATCAGGAAGTGTGGTAATGTTTAAAAGCAGTATGAAACGTGCAAAAATAGCGGTTTGTCATATGAAATGGAGAATTACGGAGAGCCTACACTTTACCCTGATGAATATCAACATCATCAAAAACTGTCAATTACTACGTAGACCCTTTCAAAGTGTCCCTAAATATTTCTAAGACTAACTATTGCTTAGTCTTTTCCAGTTATATTTATCCAAACTACATTTCACAGAGAATTTGGAAAATATATGCCCATACGAGAATTTTTTTTTCTTTCTGATGGGTGTATGCAGCTGGAAAGTGTCTCACACACACACTTAAACACACCTGAGAAGAGGCCGAGTTTCAATTACATCCCTGCTACTGCCAAAGTGAGGATTAGGAGTAGGTTACTGAAGGTTTGAATTACAGGGGATTAAGGGAGAGTGAGTAATTACTGCTAAAGACATCATAAATGTTTACCTCGACACACTGGACAGTGATCTGTCACATAACCTTATAATTCACTTGTATATTTTTTTAGGTTGAACCTTGGGTTTAATAAGTTCCTTTCCCAGCGTCGAGTAAATAACTAGATCAAGGCTGTAAAAACACAACATGGGACACCCACAGTGGGGCTGCGTTCTGAGCTACAGCTTTTGCTGAGTGTGTGTTTGGAATGGGGAGGGTCCTCCATGTCCAGATGCAGAGATGGGACTGTTATCATTGTTAGGCAAAGTGGGTCAGTTTGTCTGAGTTGGGAGAATTCTGAGAAGGTCAGTGAACCCACAGCTGTGCACTACAATTGTGTCTTCCTACGTCTCTTCTCTTACTCATTTTTAAGCCAAACCCATCTACTTCAAAGGCAAAAAAAAAACAACAAAAAAAAAACAACATACCGTAAGAACACTGCCACCCAACCCCATTGTGCAACTTGAAGCCTGAGATGTTTCCAGTGCACCTCTCTCTGGGCCAAACTAGAGATGATAATCACGCTTCTCCTGCTGGGTTTTAAACACACTCTTATCAAACACAACTAAACTTTTGTTGAACAAAACCAGATGTGTGCATGTTTGTGGAACACAAAGACATGAAGTGGAGCCATTTCTCATCAAATTCCCAGTTAAAAAGGTTTTGCAGGTTCACTGCTGCCCGTTTAAACAGGACTCTCCTTCTTCAGTTGAAGTGAAAGGTCGATAACCTTGGTTTTGAAAGCTTGATTAATGTTTTAAAGGCTTCTGGGGAAGCTGAAGTTTCTCAGTGCCAAAAGCATTTTGTTCAGATTTAGCAAGTGCTGTCTCCAAAAGCAAACAGCTTTTCCACACGAAAATTGATTAACTACAGCAATTATCCAGGCTACCGATGACTAAACCTAATAAATCAATTATATGCCTAGGAGAGTTAAACCTGACATTATAAACTCACTAAGAAAAACTGTTCTAATTCTGCAAGATTACATTTTTGAAACAAAGTACCCACAAACACAAGAAATAATTTAAAAAAGAGAAAAAGAAAAAAGAAAACTTTATTTATGAGCTCAAAACCTGAACTTGGACCTAAAGATTCTTGTGCAAAATAGAATTTCAGATCAACCAGAAATTTGGCAGGAAGCTAAGCACTCTTCTCCCACTCTCAGTGACCTGAAAGTATTACGCTTCAGTTGCAAAGCCACTGCTGGCTTATTTAGCTCTCAGTCAGTGCTTCAGCCACTGCTGCAGAAGTAAGGAGATGTGGTCACGGGCCAGGGTCAGCTGTGGGGGATCATCACTCCTGGCTGGGTACATGTTGGCGCAGTGAGAGGTTCCTGGATCGGGGAAAGAAAAAAACAGTGGATAAGGCATGCAAAAGAGACAAAAAAGAAAAAAAATATAGATGGAAACAAGACTTCCAAGCACAATTAACCAGCAAATAAAATTGGAGTTGAACAAGTAAAGCATTGTTCTACTCTGATTTAGCCGTTTGGCTTATGTAATGTAAAGCAACCACAAACATAGTTCAGTCTCAGTGTGGACTTGTGTTTAAAAAAATAAAAATAAAAAAATATCAGTGCAATCTGATGTACAGTTTGTAAGGTGTTTACTTAAACGGGACCTCACTTCCAGCTTCACTGTTATATTGTTAAACTCTGTTTCCATGATTCACAGTTTAAAGAAATCTTTATCTTATGTGGGGCCTCCACTTCTACAAGCCTGCTGTTCCTTTGAGCCAAACTCTGACTGGCTGTCCCTCACAAACAGAAGATCTAAACAGCAGGTGGTTGTGGCTTCTGTGTTCACAGCCAGAGATGTATACCTGAGATGACCATATCCAGGACCACCGCTCTCACAGACATCATTTAAACAAAACAAAAAAAGGACAATAGGGATGTTTAGAGCAGTGTGCAGCCCGACCTTTTGGTTAACAGGGATTATTTGGACATATGCTGATCTCATGATTTGAAACAGACATTCTCCCCACAAATGTGTATCCAGAGTGTAAAACAAACTTAACATAAAAATTCATTATGCATCATTTTTGTTCACCTTTGATGAAAATCGCAGGTAGGTCAGCTGAGATGTCCTGAGTGACCCCCAAGGCATGCCAGGGGTCAATGGAGCCATTGGGGAACACAATTCTGCTTGAGCGGATGTCATAAGCGCCGTAATACTCATTGGTCTGTGTGACAGCCTCCGCCACCTGCTCAGCACTGATGTTGTAAAAGTTTGTACACTGTTTCAGAAAATATCTGGATGGGAAGAAAAAGAAAAATAAGAATGACAACTGAATATGCAATTAAATGTGTGAGCTTTACTGGCCATGTTTGGTGTACTCACACAAGAGGGAAGCCAGCGAACGGCTGGTTGGGTGAATCAGTGCTCTGGTAGAATCCAAATTCAGCACAGGTCTGGTAGACCCACTGTCTCCCTGTCAAGACATACACAAAAATCTACCCATGAACAGCATGTTCATTTCCTTGTTAGCATTATACACACTATGTTATTAGAGCCAGCATTTCTAATAATTATCTTAAAATCACCTTAATTTAAAAAATAAATAAATAAAAAAAAGTATTCATTTTCAGCTATTCAGCCATAATAAATACAGGAAACAACTTGACTGGAGCCCCAAGACAAAGAGGTGGGCAGGGAAGTTTATGCAAGCGCATCCCAAAGACTTTTCAAAGAGACCACATCCTGTTCCTGTGACCCTCCACCCCACCCCTCCCACTGAAGTCTGAGCTGACAACAGAAACATGCGACCCTGGACAAAAATGCCATTTTTACTACAAAGTTATATATGTGAGCCCAACATCATGTGTGCATTTCTTCTTCTTCTATCTTATGTGCAGTATAAACCACGGGTGTTAAAGGGGATGCAGTGGTGCCAGATTCACTTCCCTGTTTTTAAACACATCTCCAGTGTGTCTTTAGACCGACAAATGGAATAGATTAACTCAATATTTCTTTTCTCTGCACACAGTCTCTGAACGAGCTATTGTGGTTTGCAGCCAGTTGTGATTCAGCACAGGTAAAAGCACCACCTCCAAGTAGAAAAGAACTGAGCTCCTGAATTCAGACCTAGCAGCTCACTTGTGTTCCGTTTGCTTTGGCATATAAACCTACATAAACAGAAAGCGTGACGGCATACATAGCCACGGCAAAAGGAATGACTGGTATGACACTTTTGGCTGGAACTGGAAAGATATTCTGGGGCACAGGTCGGGCTTAATTTAACTTTTTAAAAAGTGGATACAATATAGGAACTTCGTGAAAACTTCGTTTAGAAAAAGTAGCATTATTTTGGGATGTTATGCCAGGATTTATTTAGTAGTAAAGTTAAGCAATACTCCCGAATTAGCTTTTTTCCTTTTATTTTGGTTGTTCAAATCCTTCCATCAGCATAGTAACCACATGCCAGAACAAGCCTGTGACTGTTCTATTCCATTTCCTAAGGCTACTGCAGTGCTCCTGAATTATTGTTGGATGACAGTGGAAAGTCACGATGAGACATGACAGTTTCCCTTAAGTGCAACAACAAAAATAAACTACTCTACTAACAAAACAACAAAAGACAGCCTAAAATTGCAAGGTACAGAAATATCTGTTTCATAAGGACCACAAGCTAAAGCTAAATAAAAATGAGCAAACCAAATACCACTTCCAAGGAAGACGCGTCCACACCCACCTGCTATTGGAGCTGGTCCATCCCAGGATGTGTTAGTCATGTCGCTGACGTATTTGCTGAAGCTAGTGTCCAGGCATTTCATAGAGGTGGTCTCCATCATGAGACGGGCCACAGCTGCGTATCTGGCGTAAGGGTCTCCCAGTGAGCTGTCAGTCATCACACTACACAGCACCTTGATGGTGATGTTGGTACCAGTAACACCCTTTAATGACATATCACAGCACACCACAAGGAAAAGAAGATTGTTAGGATGACATAGAAACACTGTTTTCTCAACATTGATGGCAAGATGTGCAGTTATATTATTTTAATTTTTCAGAGCGGCTACTTTGGGTTATTATACCCTTGACCAAAGTTTCAAATAAATCAGTGTTTGCACAAATACAGGGAGGGACGGTGGCGCTGTTGTTAGGACTATCACCATACCGCACCACTCAAGGCCACACACCTGACCAGGGTGTACCCCACCGCCTGCTGTGTGACAGCTAAGATAGGCTCCAACACCTGGATTATTTAAGTGGAAGAAAATAGATGTGGAAATAATCTCTGAGCCATAACTTTAGGCTTTAGTTTGTCATATAAAGCCAAGAGTGAGGGTGAAAAAAACAAAACAAAAGACAGAGTCACAGAGAGAGAATACCCTAATATGGTCACAACTAGCTGCAAGACCAGATTTAAGCTCCTACAATACAATACAGAGTGTATAAGTGGATGTGAATAGGAAATCCTTAACCCCCATCCTAAAAGGTGGTCCCAACAGAAAGTGGCAGTTTTTCCAGTGGTTAAGTAGATGAAGTTTGGTCAGCATTTGTCAAACACTAAAACGCATGCTGGTATGGCACAACACTTGAGCGAGAAGTTGTGTTTGGAAAAGCAAACACATTTAACCCCCGTCCCATCCCACACACCCCCAAAAACAAAACACATGATCAAGGTTGAATTAGAAATTATTTTGACTTTGACATTACCAGAAGGTCCAAAACAGCTCTTGAAAGGACCTTGCGGTGTGATGGCCTTTTAAATGTTTTGTACAACCTCAAAAAACATAACATGAATATTTATTCATTTCATATGTGGACAAGGGCAGGGTATTTTAGAGTTCCCAGATGGTGACACTGAGATGAGGCCAACTGGCAAGAAATCCATCCTGTGAATCAGTTCCTGTAATACACACTAATCAACAAAGGCTCTTGTTGCTAATGCGCTCCACCTTTAAAAGGACAAATATTATCTTCACCCAATCCATCCAATAGTTGTGATATTGCAATCTTAGACAAAGTAGTGAACAAAAAAAAAAAAAAAAATTTAACTGTGAGGTGATAGTAGCAAGAATACCTAGGCACACAGGCCAGCAGCATGAAGTGAGAAAGAGTTCGCCCCCAGGCATCTTCTAACAACATGCAAGAATGTCTTCACAGAGCACTCTGGGATTTAAGGCGGTGAGAGACTCAGTAGCAGCTTGACAAAAGAAGAAAGCTGAAAGTTAACTAAACCTTTCATCTTATGCAAATGAGAGTTAACTCTTGGCAGTTGTGTAGTGTTTCGCATATAAAAATTAAGCCGCAGAATAAGCCAGTAAGTTTATGTTTTACAGTCTGGATACACATCTGTGGAGGAAAATATCTGTGTTGCATTTTCAGTGGCCTGTTCTCTTTGGACAAACACGCATAATATATTCATGTCTTTGTCCTCACAAGTCTAGCCGTGTACAATTAGTGGACATCGTTGATGCAGTTTCTGTCACGTGTGGCGACCTGCTCCATGTATGCCCATTGTGATCAGCACAAACACTGTGGCTTTTGAGTGGTTGCTGTCCAGCACTCTGGGTCCACATATACACCCGTCTAAAATTACACTGGCAATTTTGAGTGCCTGAGGGTATTAACATTATCAAGTAAGGCTACATCAAAAGCTCTACCAGAACCTGGATGGTGTCTTTATAGCAGTCAAAAGTCAAATTTGGAATACCCTACAGTTTTTGAACTCAGCAGCTACCATCTTAGCTAGAAAGGAAAAAGGAAGGGCTCAAATGATATTGAGCCAAACGAGGAGGACACATCTTCAGCACTCATGGTAAAGCAAGTATCAGGAGGCAGTCCTGTTCCCCACAGACATGTGCTGATGAGTGTTTAATTCGAGACAGCACTACTCTGGTAAATGGCACATTCAGTGTGTCTCAATGCTTCCATTAGAGCGCTTTTTGACAGAGTGAGGCTGCAGGAGCAAACAGGTGGCAGAGATCAGAGTGGTGCTTACGTGAAAAAATGAACACCTAAGTGACCTGTGATTACCATCCCCTATTCTATGTAAGAAAAAAGAAAAAGAAAACAAACTATTTGTACTTGTGCTACAAGCTGTACCGTTACATAAGGTCTTTCTGCATTTTATACAGCACCCTATTGAAAACCTTAAGCATAAAACCACTGCTGTGACTCTACTGCTTGAGTTACACCTCACCCCGAGTTCTTACCCAAATTCCTCAGCGGTACCCAAAACCTGCTAGTTTTCTCTGCCCTTTGTGTCAGAGAAGGCAGCTGTGGGCTGTGTCTGTCTGCTAGCTCTGCGGACTATGTGGCCCGACGCTCCCTTCAGTTCTTTTATAAGCGTCTCTTTAGCTTGGGGCGACAGGAAACCAGAGAGACCAAAGGCTCTTTTGTTACTTTTTCACATCAGCTTATTGGTAACCGGACTCACGTCTCCTCCAGGCACCAGGGGGACAGAGAGGGGATGGGATGGGGAGTCACTTTTTTTTTTTTTTTTAAAGAAAAGTGAGGAAAAGGTGAAAAGTACAGTAACCAAAGTAACTGACAAAAATCATGCACAATGGGACTTCTACTAAAAGGCTGTACATGTTTACTGCTGTACCGCAACAGAATGCTGATCACACACACTTGCATGGATTTGTATCCTGTTCCTGAAATCTTACAGAAAAGACAAGAAGTTGCTGAGGAAAGTTCAGACCGTGCTGAAGAATAAAAGTGCCAAAAAGCACCAAATATTGACTTTGAAGCTGATTAGCACTGGGAAAACTGTGTTTTATATACTGTATTTTTGCACATTGGACCCATTTCCCTAGCAAAATATAAAGATACAGGGGTGGCTTAAGATTCTTGCGCATTACTGTGCATTTATCGTGACCATGGGCTTAATCTTATGCTAGAAATATTTCCACTAAAATACAAGCAAATCTCAGATAAAAAGCACCAGCACCAAACACCACCGTACTGGCTTCTTTCATTTAAAAACAAGTCAAACCCTCCCACCATCCACTGTTATCTACTCTGTTGGCCTCCACTTTGCAGAGCAACAAGCCAGGCCCCACTTCTTATATAAACACACAGACACAGTAAGCAAGCAACAGGTCCCCGACGCAACCTTGGAAAAATTCTTCCGAGGCAATATCTCTGGGCCTCTCGCTGTTAGACAATGCAGGGTTTATCATGTTTCAGCACACTGCCGGTTCCCTGTTACACCCCTGACTCATAGTGGTCTTGCATTCAACTCAGGCCCTGATAGCTACAAAGCCTGTTCAGTGCTTAGTCAGTACACATAAATCATGTCTTAATTAAAAAATTCTTTCCATATCAGATGTCTTTTTACATCAAACGGTATCAAAAATACGTGGTTGGGCACATTTTGTAGAGCAGCTACACCCAAACACTACGCAAGCCATTTGTACTTACTGAACAACAGCTACAGATATGCATCTGTGCCTGTCCTGCAGAGTCAACTGCAGGCATGTTGGTGTAAATCTTTATGCATGTGTTCTGTCCATCATTTACCGACCTCATCCTTAAAGGGAGAGCCTCCTCTTAACTGGACCTATGTGGATCTATGACAATGAGAAAGCTCAGAGAAAATTGGCAGTAGGGGATAAATGCTGTGCCCTCTGCAAAATAATATCTAATTTTCCTGTAAACAAGTGTTTTCGTTTTGTACAACTTCTAACATATTAGATGGTTATCATTTTTGGACTGAGGATATCAAGAAGCACTCCAGAAGCCACATGTCTGGCTCTTTCCCCCCAATACAGTTTGGCTTTCCCCTCACCTCAAACCCCCTGTTGTCTTCATTGTACTGGACCACATTCATGAAGTTGCCAGCCAGTGTTTCCAGGAAATAGGCAGAGTCCATGTCTGTCTGGATCTGTAGTTTGGAGCACAAACTGGAGGAGAAGAAACATGGGAATAGGGAAGGATATGAAGAAATTAGAAAAACCAGAGGAAAAAAAAAGAAATAAAGGGGGGACAATAGTAAAGTGCTAGCCAACAGCATGTGTTTGGGTGTTACTTTCTATAATATGCAGCTAGAAGTAAATCCAAAGAACTGACTTCCCTTTTAATCAAGTATTCATGTATTCAAAGTCAATCCATGCAAATGATTAGGGCCGTCTGTCAAGCTGACAGTAATCACGGCAGTGATTGTACCTTACTGAGGTGCGTTTGTGGATGTACGTAGTTAAGTGTTCACTTTTCATTTTATTGGACTCAACTCCCTTGTGTGTGCAGTGAACCAAAACTTCCTCCATGCTCAAGCTGTGACGCAAGCGCTGCTTTGCCTGATATTTTGCGGTTTTAAAGCTGGAAGCCTCCAAACCACCCCTGTGACCTCTGCCTGCAATGAGGACATGTCTGCATGAAGCAGAAATAAAAAGATGGGCAGGTTCGCAAGTCCCCATGACAGCACAAGTTCTGCAAAACTGCCCACGCCATTGAAGACGCCATTCAACACTGCTTATTTATCATGCTGACAGTCACTATAAAAACCTCAAATACAGGCTATAAAATAACATCAGAGGCTGCACACATGGCACGGGTAAGAATGACTTCATGTTTGTAACTGAGAATAATGGAAGTGAATGAAAAGAAAATAATGTAATAAGAGGGCTGAGAAAATAACCCAATAAAAGTAAATGCCGAGGCGTTTTTGTTTACTTACTCTTTTTAAGTAATGTTAAGCCTTAAAATCTTAGACAGCCACAGTAATAACAATAAACCCAATGATAAAGTGATGTAAGGAAATACAGTGAGACATTTCTGTGCGTAACCACACAGAAACCCTCCAGCGGCCCAGCTTCATCCAGAAAACTGAGGCAATACTTCTGGAGCTGTTGACTCTGACCCAAGATGACCCTTGTTGCGCACGCACACGCGCACGCGCACACACACACTTTGGAAGAATCATCTGGTTCTCAATGTGAATAAGGTCAGACTAGAGAAGTAAGGGGATGTCAGCTTTGCTGTGGTCTGCCAGACTGATCAGGAAGGCTTACTCTGTAATTGGCAGCAAACTGGACACTCCGTTTATATAACATGCCTCAAGTTAAGGGCTCCTCTGGTCACGGCAAATAACAAAACAGAAGGATCACTTCCAGAGAGCAAATGTAACCTACTTGAAGTCTTTGGTGATGTTTTCATAGGTTCTGGGGTCTTTCAGGCGTTTGACGAGGTCATCCGAAGCCTTTTTCACTAGCAATGGGCACTCTGTGTTCTCTGAGGCCAGCGAACGCCAAACAACCTCCAAGTATTCTGGGGAAAAAATAAAAAATAAAAAAAAATAAAAAGAGAGAAAAAGGCAGAGGGTGCGTGGACACTTAAACCTGGGCTGCTATAAAAAGACCACAATAATACACACACAAAAAAGCTCTTGGTTAAACACACAGGACCATTTTAGAGGCACCAATTTATCTTCAAAACAGCGTGTGAACCCAGTTCCATTTAAATGTTTGAGAGTGTTTATTTGGGTTTCAGTGAGGTTGAAAGTGAAATGATGAGTGAATTTCACAGCTTATGAAAGTCTAAAAGCTCAGAGGAGAAACTCCACATTACACAATCCAGGAATTTTCTCCCCCCCTTCTTAAGTGAAAGCCAACCTCTTACTGGTAGTTTCTAACTTACTGCTGTGCTGGAAATGATAACCACGAACTTACTGCAGGACAAAAGAGATGGCTGATGCAAGTACACCATTGGTCCCAGGTGTTTTGTCTCTCACATGTCCCTAAATCCAAAAGGAATGTCTAATGAATGTGTGCGATAGCATCTTAAAGACAGCACATGTGTGGGTGGAAGAGCCTAAATCCATGTTCAAAAGCTCCTCTGACCTCGATTCCAGCCTGCAGCCTTGCGGAGAAAAACAAAGGAGACGGCCAAATACAACACAGACACAGATAGAGAATGAGCTCTCATCTCTGATGTGTCTGAGCCTTTTAGTTCCGAGACACTGACCGAAGCTAGAAAATTTGTCGAGTGGTTCGATTTGATGCTTCGTGTGTTTGGTGAGGGTGTTGATACTGCAGTGTGTTTTTAGTGTGTCATACATTATATGAAACTGAATGTAATACTGAGAAGCACAACAAACAACACTTTAGCGTATCCTTAATGTGGTAATCCCACTTTGTTTCCTGAATGCATATACATGTTCAAATCCTAGATTGTTTTAAATGGAGTTCAGCACATTCTAAAATCAGGACTAGACAACATTATTTAGGGCTTTGTTACACTGTTTGGGCTTTTTCATGTCTCTTCTTACCTGGAAAATTGACTGTGGCATAAACAGGTGCACTGGTGGCCACAGAGGCATGGACCAGGTGGGGGTATTTGAGCCTGAACCAAGCAGCCAGAGAGCCTGGGTAGGACCCACCTAACGCCACCCACTTCCTGTCAGTCAGCCCTCGGGCCTTGGCAATCATGGTGCGAAAGTGTGCTAGGTCAGCCAGCGCCTGACGACTGCTGAGGAAACGCAGGTTGTCTGTGCTGAGGTCCCTAAAAGAAAAGAGTAAGCATTCAGTATCAAACCACATTGTTCCATCTAGCGACTGGGCTACGGGCACACTGCAGTGCTGCCATCTAGTGGTGCTGATAAAACCAGCTGAGAAAATTCAGCTGGTGGTTTCAATGTAAATTTGTTCTGATCCTACAGTGTGCACAACCAGAGTTGGGGAAAACCTGCAAAGAGCTGTGCAAAGTGATTTAGCCATACTTAAGAGCACCTTGCTCTGGCAGAAACTTCCTGTGTAAAGATTCAAACTGAGGTTAACCACTTGAAAGGCACACAGCTCACTGGTGCATAAACAAAGGAAGCCTGACATTTTTAATACCAGTTTTTGCACCCACAACATTGTTTTTTTATTTTGGTATAACATATTTGGTGTGCAGTACTGCTTCACTTCTGCATTTGATCATTTTTGTTCATGCTGAGCTGAAATTTAAGGAAGTCAGTTATTTTACTCAGCTACAGTTCACACATGTCCCTTAACCTTATCACATGCGGGTAATCGTGGAGTTCCTGTTCTAAAAATAGGCCGGCTTTAACTCACACTAAACATGGGATTTGAGAGCCACTCATTTATGCTACATGATTGAGTTGTTAGAGTCATTTGTCACAGGAAAACTAAAAAAAGATGATATAGTGAAAATGATCAAAATATTCTGTGTGTACGGCCATCTTTGTGAATTTTGAACCACGAGTCACAGCCCTTCTGTCCGAGGGTTAAGACTTGGTTTTAGCGTTCAAGTTAGAATTAGGTTTCGGTTATGGTAAGGGTTTGCAGACGGTTAAACTTGAGAGCAAGAATATCAGGAATGCATTCATGTCAATAAATGTTTTCATAGCTTTGTTAAACCTGCTGAACCTGAAGCAGTGCAAACGTGTGTGTTACCCTCTGCACAGGGTGAAGCTGAGGGTTGGATACTGAGTTGTCAAGACAGATGACCACACAGACATAGAGATTTCTCTCATAAAGGACATAAAGAGAGGGATAAACATACACTGTAGGGTGACTCATTCCATAGAAGCGATGCTCCAGCATCAAGCAAAGTGCTCCCAGTTTCTCAGCGTAGGTGAGCCAAGTGCCATCCTTCATCCATGCTGGATTTGCTGGGCCCTCTCCCCCTATCATCAGAAACACCGGCCCACCAGGCCTGTAGAAGGCTTCATTTATAAAGTACCTCTGAGAGGGAACAACAAAGTGAGAGACATTCAGAAAGTAAAAAAAATAAACACATCAGTGGGGTTGCAGTAAAATGAGCCAAAAAGGCTTTATCTTTCGTGACAGATGCATGCATTATGACACATTTGTCCAACTGCACAAGATTAGACCACACAGTTAAATCAAACAAACGTCCATATAAACCAACATGTAGACCTGCCTGCTTCCACACTCTTGTGTCAGCGCCGTTGAAGTGATCCAATTTCTGTGGGAACCATTGCTCCTCAAACGGAGATCCCTTCTTGGTGTCCTGTGCTTCTTTAAACCTCCTGAAAATGGAGTAGCGACCCTCTCCAACAGCACAGAGAGACAGAAACACGGCTACCTGACAAAGGAGCACCACGAACGTGGGAAAAGCCATAGTGCTAACAAAGAAGGAAATAGTGAAGGGCATGTGATATAGTGCAGAGAAGTCATATGACAAGTTGTGCTACTTTAGAAAACTCCCAGAAAATAGGAAATACCAGCATTCATCTTAAAATCGCACACAGCGCCTGTGTATTTACAAACTTCACATATAATTGAAAACCTTATTTATTTAAGCCTTAATTTTCATATGTTTTGCCACCACCTATAATGCACAGAACGGTGTGTAAAGGACACAAACTCTGTCAAATTTTTGGTCACTGTAACACTGTGAAATTGACGTCAATAATTATGCGTCTACAGTGTGGCGCATGCTAATAGCTATCAATAAATAGTGAAATAGCGCAGTTTCTGGTGTCTTTGACCATGAAATTTCGCGTATCTGTTTCCTGTTTTACGGTACCTGAAGTACTCACAAACGACCACAACAGCCCGCCGCCAGTAGAGGCGGTAACGTGAAACCAGGACAGATTTTCTGTAGCGAAGAAGGTGCTCTCCTGCTTTCTGAACATTTCCGTTTGCTAACCAACAGTTCACAGAGCCACCACCATGGAGGAGGCAAAAAACAAAGAGAATAAGCAGCTCGAAAAGACTGATGAGAAGGACAAGGACAAGGAGAAGGCCCAGCAACCCTCGGGGAAGGATAAAGAGAAGAAAGAGGAGCAAGAATTGGTACATTTTGGCCTTTTGCTCATTCATTGAAATGTAATCGAGCCAGACGTGTTAATTTGCCTTAGTCACTGTCGCTTTGACAACATGGTCGAGCAGGCCAAAAGTTAGTGGGATTTAAGATAGACGTCTACCGAGCTTCAATTTACTGGACTGCAATTAATAAGCATATGAAATGTCACCAATCTGACTTATTAGTACGTTGTGGGCCTTTAAAATGCTGCTAATAACCTCCGTTAGGTAATTTTAGCCTAGCCTACATCAGCCGGTATGCTAGCGTTAGCTTGCTACTTGTTATGTCCGCTGTCTTTGCTGGCATTAATGTAGCTCTGCTAGCATGTTCGGCTAGTACTGGAAGACGTACTGTATGACACAGCAGCTAACGTGAAGTCACAGAAACTCACGCAGCAAAATCCCATCTATTCTGCAATATCATATCTGAGAACTAATTAGATTGACTTTACATTTTACAGTTAGTGGAAAGCTAAGTGAAATCCAGTGCAAACATGGACAGGCGAATTCTTATTCCGAATATTCAGCATCTTTATTTAGATAAGTTTGTGCAAACAAACAGAATTTGACTCTACTTAAATTTGCTTTCTTCATAGTTATAATGTACATACTACATGCTATTGGGTTTAACAAAAGTGTACAAATTAAAAATGCTGAAAAAATATATATAACTCGCAATTAAAGTATAGTATTATTAGTAAACCATATGTTACAGTAGCTTTAAAAGGCATACATTCATTGTTAGACAAATTCAGTAGACACATAATCATTATTATAAAGTAGAAAACCACATTCCTGTTCATATTTAAGCAATGCCTGGTGGTATGTAAATAGTAATACATACCTGCGCCACTGATGGGCTTGAATATTTATAAGATTTTATTAAGATTTAACAGAAAGAAATGTCATCTTGAGTTCTGCTTGGAAATCTGAATACAGGACTTTGAATTCAAGTATCTTGAATTCAGTGGAAGAAATTCCAACATTTTGGGATTTCCGAACTGAATGATTGAGCTTGCACCAAAACAAGTGGTCTATATAATACTCACTGACTGGCAACAGTTGACACTTATTAAGCAAACGTATTGTGTTGATATGCAACATCGGCAGTATTGAGAGGTCTTAAGGAGTCATGTTTTTTATTTTTACGGATTTGATTTATGACATTCTTATGTTGTCCTCATATTATTTCAGTCAGAAGAAGACAAGCAATTACAAGAGGATTTGGAGATGATGGTGGAGAGACTGAGTGTGAGTATTTACATTTCTCCAACTTCTTTGTGTGTTGAGGTATGAAACAAATTCCTACAAAGTAAAAATATTTTTGGGTTGTTGTTTTTTTTCACATTTGCAGGAGGAAAACACAGCACTGTATCGTCCTGCATTAGAAGAACTGCGCAGACAGATTCGTTCCTCAACCACCTCCATGACCTCAGTACCTAAACCCCTGAAATTCCTGCGCCCACACTATGGCAAGCTCAAAGAAATCTATGAGGGCATGGCCCCTGGAGAGAACAAGGTGAGACTCTTGGCCAGAAAATGGACTGAATTTAGTATGAATAGATTCCCAAGAGAGTGTGTGTGTATGTATTTATATTTTTTATATATATATATATATAAATAAATGTGATGTGAGAGGAAGAAGGTTGACTCATTGCACGAGACCATTAAGAATTTTTAATGATATGTATGACAGTCCCCAAGGGGCAATTAAGATACCTTAAGATGCCTCCAATTTTGCAGTTGGTCTAATGTCCGTCACTAGTCACCAGGTCTCTCAATTCCCGTTGCAGTGCCACCTCCAAGATCTTATCCATATTGCATTCAGTAAACACAGTCTGAGTACTCACAGCCCTGCCGATCATGTCCGCCAGCCTTATGGGATTTTGAACAGCTGTAGCCGGTTCTTGTTCTTTGATAAGCCAGGTCCAAGCCAGCTCCAATCAGCCAGAACTTCCGAATTGGTAGATGTCGTTCAATGTCCTCCATCGAGAGTGTCACCAGACACACGACGCAACGTCCATCGAGTATCCGGCAGTAAATGTCTCCGCAGGACAATCGGGCTCTCCCAAGCCCCGGCTTCTCGGCAAGACTATACAAAAGACATGAGAAGCCAAGCAGGAAAGACAAGGGAGAGAGAGTGAGAAGGAGAAAAAGCAACGGCCTCCGTCAAGAGCCAAGAAAGAAAGGTGGTGGAGTGGTTAGCATGAGGGTTACAAGTTCAGCCTCCGCTGGGGCTTTTTGGATGACCTTTACTTGTTCTCACTGTACCTGTGCGGGTTTCCTCCGTGTTGTCCAGCTTCCTCCCACAGTTCAAAGACATGCATGACGGGTTATTTGGCCATGAATGTGAGGTAGACAAAGTACTTGGAAGTGTATAGAAATGCTGTATGAATGTGTGATTAAATGGAACTGTTAGTTAAAAGTGCTCAATTACATTGTGGGTCATTTGAAAAATATCCAACATTAGTATTGGGTTTAAACAGTGTGTGTTCATGTTTGTTGTTGCAGCGCTTCTGTGCTGATGTTGTATCAGTGCTCGCTATGACCATGAGCGGTGAGAGGGAGTGTTTGAAGTACCGCCTAGTGGGCTCCCAGGAAGAGCTGGCTTCCTGGGGACATGAATACGTCAGGTAAGACATGTTACAGTGGAGTGCTGCGAATGCCACAAGTTTTCTGCTGAGTAAAGGGCCCCGCTTTGGAATGATCTAACTGAGGAGTTCAGGTTTACATGTTTAGACATGTTGAAGTTTTCATAAAGGACTCTAATTGGCTCTCTGTTCACTAAGGTTTTTTGGTTTGCTTACAGTGAGAGGAACAGCTGCTGTCAGCTCTAGAAATATACTTTCAGTTCACCCTGGTGTTCTTCAGCATAGTACTGCCTCTTTGCTGTCCACTATGTGTCAGTCAGAGATGAGCAGCCACAGCTCCACATATCTTTCACAATAATGTGCTTTTACTGTTCAACATTGACATTTTTTAACAGTAGAATTTGCAGCAGCTCTGTAGCTCCACTTTTTCACTGTCTCACTTTCTAGTAATTGAGAATGTTCCATGTAACCATCTGATTGCTAATGAAACTGAAACTTGTCACTTATTTGGAACTTTTTGAAAAGTGCAAAAGTCAGTACTAACCACTTCCCAAATTATTAGTTACTGATTTCTTTGGATTAGTGATTGAGGTCTAATTAGTTGCATTTTAAGTTTGGTGTCTGCACCAAAAGTCTGATTTGATACTGAAAGGAATTCATACAAAAGCTTGACAGATATTGTGTTTTTCCTTCTGATGAATAAGTGGAAAACATTTTTATTTTCCTTTGCCTCATTTTTTTGGTGAGTCTGTTTGGAGTCACTATTCTGTCTGTCTTTCAGACACCTTGCGGGTGAGGTGGCTAAAGAGTGGCAGGAGGTAGAGGAGAATGATAAGACCCAGCAGGAAACGCTTTTGAAACTAGTGAAGGAGATTGTGCCCTACAACATGGCCCACAATGCTGAGCACGAGGCATGTGACCTGCTGATGGAGATTGAGAGGCTGGACATGCTGGAGGACTATATTGATGAAAACGCATACGGCAAAGTCTGCCTCTACCTCACCAGGTGTGTTTGAGCTATTCTACACAAACCTTGTTTAGTTTAGCATGTTGTATAGTATAAATATGAATTAGTGATTTTTCACTGGAATATGAGCATCTCTTAACTTTGTGCTTCACTTCTTCAGCTGTGTGAGTTACGTTCCTGAGCCAGAGAACTCGGCACTGCTGAGATGTGCCTTGAACATCTTCAGGAAGTTCAACTGTTATCCTGAAGCCCTGCGCCTGGCCCTGATGCTCAATGATGTGGAGCTTGTCGAAAACATCTTCACATCCTGCAAAGACATGTAAGAACTTTAAAGTTCTGCCTTTAACTTTAAAGACCCAACATGATCATGTTGGTTCTCACAGGTGCAAAACTTACTGACACAATTTCTGAGTGTGCATATATATTTAACTCTATTAAGGTATATCAAAGTAATTTAGTCAGATATTAGTGGATAACGTGCATTAAACACAAACTCCTTGTAATTTTATTGTTTTATCCAGAGTCATCCAGAAACAGATGGCATTCATGTTGGGTCGTCATGGCATGTTCCTGGAGCTTAATGAGGATGTAGAGGACTATGAAGACCTGACTGAGATCATGTCAAATGTGCAGCTCAACAGCAACTTCTTGGCCCTGGCTAGAGAGGTAGGACAGGAGGTTATAAAGAAATGTATTTTAAGGTTTAAGAAATATATTGAGAATTGTTCAATAAGGGGTGGCATGGTGGTTAGCACTGTTGCCTCACAGGAAGAAGAGCCTGAGTTCAATTCCACCATCAGGCCAGGGTCTTTCTGTGT